TTACCAAGGATATTCTTTCTAAAATTAATACAGAACTAAGAAGTATATTACAATTAAACCAATGGAAAAACACTCGAAATGTTATCGATTGGTTTAAAGCCATAAAAGACAAACGCCTTTATAAATTTTTAATTTTTGATATCATTGACTTCTACCCTTCTATTAATGAAACACTTCTAAAAAACTCTATCAAATTTGCAGAGCAACACTTAACACTAAATAAAGAGAATATATCGTTAATTTTTCATGCAAGAAAGTCTTTGCTTTTCAATAATAATCAGGTTTGGATAAAGCAATCAAGTGGTTTATTTGATGTTTCCATGGGAGCTTTTGACGGCGCGGAGGTTTGTGAGCTTGTAGGAATATTTCTTCTTTTCGAAATTTCAAAATTTTATAACAAGTTTGAGGTTGGTTTATACCGTGATGATGGATTAGCAGTTTTTAGGAATAAAAGCGGCCCTCAAATGGAAAAAATAAAAAAGCATCTTTCCGAAATATTTAAATACAATGGCTTACGGATTTCTATACAATGCAACATGAAAATTGTCAACTACCTCGACGTCACTCTAAATCTTAGTGAGTGCACCTTTAAACCTTATCTCAAACCTGATAATACATTAAATTATATCCATGCTGATTCAAATCACCCTCCAAGTATACTAAAACAAATACCACACTCGGTTGAACTTAGATTATCTACAAATTCTTCTACCAAAGAAATATTTCAACAGGCTATTCCTCTATATAATGAGGCTTTATTAAAGTCTGGTTTTAAATGTAATCTAACATATAATCCTAAAGCAATATCAACTAAAAAACGGAACAGAGCACGCAACATCATTTGGTTTAATCCTCCATTTAGCAAAAATGTTAGCACCAACGTAGGAAAATGTTTTTTGAAATTAATTGGCAAACATTTTCCTAATAATAACAAACTACATAAAATCTTTAACAGGAACACAGTCAAAGTTAGCTACAGTTGTATGCCAAGTGTGAAATCGATCATAAATTCGCACAACAAGTACATTTTATACAACGATGCAAACTCTAATCAAGAAAACTGTAACTGCTTAGATAAAAATTTCTGCCCGTTGTCCAATAGATGTTTAACAAGCAGCATTGTATACCAAGCAACTGTAACCACCACTAGTGATTCATCTCCTAACGAAAAATCCTACATCGGTGTAAGTGAGACTTCTTTTAAATTGAGATACGCTAACCACGTTAAATCTTTTAACATCCCAAAATACAAAAATGATACTGAGCTGTCAAAGCAGGTATGGAAAATAAAAGAAGCCAATTTAGTTCCTATAGTTAAGTGGAAAATTCACAGGCGATGTAAAGCATATAATCCTACATCCAAATCTTGTAAATTATGTCTCACCGAAAAATATGAAATCCTAAATTATAAAAATACCAATCTACTAAATAAAAGGAGTGAGATTGTTTCTAAGTGCAGACATAGAAACAGATTCCTCCTTTCTCAATTTGACACTGGCGATTAGAAAATATGTTTTTTCCATAATATTACTATTATTGTTAATATTATTGCTATTATTATTATTATTATTATTATTATTATTATTATTATTATTATTATTATTGTTATTATTATATTATTATTATTATTATAATCATTATTATTTTTGCTATTATTTGTATTATAATTATTTGACGTCAGAACTCATTCCATTGTTTTTTTTGAATTTTGTAACGGTTTTTTAATTGTATTTTTGAACGGTTTTTTCTTGATTTAAATATATGGCTGATGAGTGCCGAAAACGGCATGAAACTTTAAGTACCGTAAAAAAGTTGTTTTTTCTCATCTAACCTTTTATTTATTTACATATATATATATATATATATATATATATATATATATATATATATATATATATATATATATATATATATATATATATATATATATATATATATATATATATATGAATATATATATATATATATATATATATATATATATATATATATATATATATATATATATATAACAACCAAATATGACAACTAAATAACAACATTGATGAATCAGATCGCTCCGGAGAGCGATCTGATTCATCTAACTACCGTCCCATTAGTCTTCTTCCTGTCATAAGCAAGGTTTTTGAATCTTTAATCAACAAACACTTAATCTCTCATCTTGAATCAAATAACTTACTTTCTGATCATCAATATGGATTTCGGTCTTCTCGTTCTACAGCTGATGTGCTAACAGTAATAACCGATAGGTTTTACCATGCATTAGATAGAGGTGGAGAGGTTAAGGCTATCGCACTTGACATTTCTAAAGCTTTTGATAAAGTTTGGCATGCTGGTCTTCTCCATAAGCTTTCTTCTTATGGTGTAGCTGGTAACGTCTTTAAGATTATTGAGTCCTTTCTTTCCAATCGTAGTATAAAAGTTGTCCTCGATGGACAACACTCTTCTTCACATCCTGTAACTTGAGGGGTTCCTCAAGGTTCAATCCTTGGCCCTATACTCTTTTTAATTTACATTAACGATCTTCCAGATATTCTCACATCTAAGGTGGCATTATTCGCTGACGACACTACCATTTACTCTTGTCATGATAAGAAGCCTACACTCTCTGATTGCTTGGAGGGGGTATCTGAGCTTGAAAAGGATCTCACTTCTGCTACAGCATGGGGCTCACAGTGGCTGGTGAACTTTAATTCAGATAAAACTCAATTTTATTCGGCCAATCGTTATCGTAATAATTTAGATCTTCCTATATTTATGAATGGTAATGTACTAGATGAGTCATCTACCATTCATCTTCTAGGATTAACTCTTACTTCTGATCTTTCTTTTAAACCGTATATCAAATCCATTGCAAAATTAGCATCTGCTAAGGTTGCATCTCTTTATCGAGCTCGACACTTTCTTACTCCAGATTCTATTCTCTATCTCTATAAATCTCAAATCCGTCCCTGTATGGAATACTGTTGCCACATCTGGGGCGGATCTTCTAATGATGCTCTTTCTCTTTTAGACAAGGTGCAAAAACGAATTGTAAACATAGTTGGACCTGCTCTTGCAGCCAATCTTCAACCTTTGTCACATCGTCGTAATGTTGCTTCTCTTTCTCTTTTCTACAAATACTATAATGGGCACTGCTCTAAAGAGCTAGCGTCCCTTGTGCCATCTACTAAAATTCACTCTCGTGTTACTCGCCATTCAATTAAGTCTCATCCTTTTTCTGTGACTGTTCCTAAGTGCTTCAAAAACTCTTATTCTTCTAGTTTTTTTTCCTCGAACATCAGTTCTTTGGAATTCGCTTCCTTCATCTTGCTTTCCTGATTCATATAATTTGCAATCTTTTAAGTCATCAGTCAATCGTTATCTTGCTCTACAGATTTAGTCTTTTCTCTTCCAGTAACTTCCAACTCTTATAGTGGTTGCTTGCAGCCTTGTTGGAAGTGAAGATGTTAAAAAAAAAAAAAAAAAAAAAAAAAAACATATGCATATATACATATCTATGTAAATACATACATATACATACATAAACACAGATATATATTAATGGTTGTCATTGTATTACAATCTACATATTAAATATACCAGTATAGTAGAATTATTAGATACCAACACAAAAAACTTATTCCTGAACTATATCTAACCGCCTCAGCTATACTCTTACCTATGAGGGATTAGACACCTATGCAAAGGATTTATCTCTGATCTCCGGTTCTAAAAACTAGCTCAGACATATTCAAGAAATTATTTTTCCATAGAAACAATGTAAACCCAGTATGTGATATGGTTGTGCTTATTAAAGTGCTTGTGTAAAATGTGTTTACTAAAATATTAGACAATTAGTGGATTACTGTATTGCATTTTTTTCAAACATTAATGCACTTCCCTAAGGCCAAGAAGGCCACTACAGACGAGGAGGCTACTTAATTGTGGATATAACCCTCTCTCAATACTTTGATTCTGAAACACAAACCTTGACAAACAAGGCAGGTGCACAGAGAAATAAATTGAGCATGGTACTACTAGGGATGTGTTGGGGATCAAACTCAGAACCTCTTGTTTATGAAGCGATCGCTCTACCACTACACCACTACGGCATACATACATTCAAACATATATTCAATAATACATAATACATAATAATAAGATTTTATAATAGCTAGAATTTCTTCTACTTTATTTTATTTTATTAAGGTTTCTTACCCTTAAAACATTCTTCACTTTTGCACTCTTAAATTAAACTTTTTTGAAAATGAGACTTGTAAAGCTTGTTACATAAAAATCATTACCAATTCAATTTGTTTAATGAAACATTTTTAAGCATTATTTTTTGGTAAAAATTTTTTTTAATTTTTATTTGATTATGATTTTATCGTATATCATTTTTATCCGGGGTTTTTTGTTTTTCTTCTGTCTTTTGTTGTTTTTTTTCTGTCTTTTTATTGTTGTTCTGTTGTTTGTTCTGTTGTTGTTCTGTTGTTTTGTTGATGTTCTGTTGTTTGTTTGTTTCTGTCTTTTGTTGTTGTTTTTCTGGCTTTTTATTGTAAAAAAACATTAACTATTAATTAATAGGGTAATTAATTAAAACATAATTAACAATTACTGCATACTGTATTACATAATTAGGTACATTTTTAGGTAGAGTTCCTGCTGTAATTGCTGTAATTATATATGTAAATGCTGTAATTAATTTAAGAGTTTGTAAACATTTTTCTAAAATATAAAATAAAATAGCATTAATCTTCATAACACAAAAATATTTTTTTTACAAACTTTTAATAATTTTTCCATTATTTTAATTCATATAATCATTTCCAAATTAAATAACTTAACCAAAGCCATTATTATAATCCTCAATTTTAGAATTTCGCAAATGAATATTTTTGTGAAGAATTTATTGTAGATTACTTTGTTTATTTTATGGCTTTTCTTTGATGAACAGAAAAATTGTTATATGAAAAGTCTAACAGATACAGTAATTAAAAAAAATTACAAAAACTGACCAACACAACTGCTGTTTTCCGATATCCACCCAGACTTGCAATTACAATTGTAACTTCCATTAGTGTTCTCACAATCACTGTTGTTCAAGTTGCAATATTTAGCTAACTCGTTGCATTCATTGATATCTGAAAGCAATTATAAAGTAATATCCAAAAAAACTTATTTTTGAGAATTTCATATAAGACAACATATATATGGATAGAATAAAAAAATTAACTACCAGATTATGTGGTACGAGTGATTGTCCATAAAAACAAAAAAAGGAAAACAAATTATAAAACCATTACAAACAACTGACCGACACAACTATTGTTTTCCAATATCCATCCAGTCTTGCAAGTACAATTGTAACTTCCGTTAATATTCATACAATCACTGTTAGTCAAGTTGCAATATTTAGCCAACTCATTGCATTCATTGACATCTGAAAACATTTATAAAGTAATATTCAAAAAAACTTATTTTTGAGAAAGTCATTTAAGACTGCATACTTATGGGTAAAACAAAAAATTCATATTGATATTTTTAAGTTAGGTTATGTCTAAAATTGGTTATCATTGGTAACAAGGTTACACTTTATTACATTGATATTTATGTCCTATTTAATTTACAATATAAAAAAATTTCATCTTAGTTGGTTATTTTGTTAGGCAAAATAAAAAAGTGACAAATAACTTTTTAGTTAATCCTTATAATACTTTTTCTAAGACCTTTTTTTTTTTATTCCTGGAAATCTTAGTTAACAAAAATTTTTTAAAAATAGTTTTGATATTTTATTGTTTTTTAAATATATTGGATTAAATATGCTTTTTTTAGTTCTGTTTTAATGTATGTAAATACTCTATGTATTATTATTTCTATAGAATTTATATATATATATATATATATATATATATATATATATATATATATATATATATATATATATATATATATATATATATATATATATATATATATATATATATATATATATATATATATATATATATATATATATATATGTATATATATATATATATATATATATATATATATATATATATATATATATATATATATATATATATATATATATATATATATATATATATATATATAGATATATATATAGATATATATATAGATATATATATAGATATATATATATATGAATATATATATATATATATATATATATATATATATATATATATATATATATATATATATATATATAATATACATACTTATATATATATATATATATATATATATATATATATATATATATATATATATATAGATATATATATACTCTTGCATGTCTCTTGCGTGGCATCAAAAAATATTTCCCATAAACTGTAGTTTTAAAGAGCGCGTTAATAAACCAGACCAGAAAAAGTTTTAAAAATTATATATTTTTTTTTAATTGATAGACTGCCTGGCCAAACCAAACCCTCAGTCGATGTAGCAGCACTCTCTTGCGAGTCAGGCTATTTGTCAGTCGTTGTAGCAGCACTCTCTTGCGAGTCAGGCTATTTGTTAGTCGATGTAGCAGCATTCTCTTGCGAGTCAGGCTATTTGTCAGTCGATGTAGCAGCACTCCGTTGCGAGTTAGGCTATTTGTCAGTCGATGTAGCAGCACTCCGTTGCGAGTCAGGCTATTTGTCAGTCGATGTAGCAGCACTCCGTTGCGAATCAGGCTATAAGATAGTCGATGTAGCAACATTTACGCATGTTTAAAAAATGTTTTTTATTAAATCAATAACAAAAACACCACTAATTAAAAAAAACTTTCTAGTCGTTATAATTGCGGTTTTTTAAAAATTTTTTAAAAAACAATTAAATTTAATGTACTTCCGCATAAATTAATTGCTTTGACATTTCGATGACAATCAAAAACAGCTTAAGAGACGAGGTAATTAAAATTGTAGTCGTAAGAGACTTTTTTTACATTAAAACGCTCTTTCGACTACACTATAAGGGTATATAGATATATATATAGATATATATATATATATATATATATATATATATATATATATATATATATATATATATATATAGATATATACATAGATATATATATAGATATATATATATATGAATATATATATATATATATATATATATATATATATATATATATATATATATATATATATATATATACATACTTATATATATATATATATATATATATATATATATATATATATATATATATATATATATATATATATATATATATATATATATATATATATATATATATGTATATATGTATATATGTATATATATATATATATATATATATATATATATATATATATATATGGGTTATTCCATATGTAATCATTTAGTTTTTTAAAAGTGCCCCAGGGTACCACCTCAAATTTTTTTCAAATTTTGACCATCAACAGCGTTTATGAAAAAAAAACAATCCTGAAAATTTCAGCTTGATTGACCAAACCGTTCAATAGTTATAATTGAATTAATATTAACCAGAATCAGAAAAACTTGAGTATATGGAGCTCAAAGTAGATCTTTTCGAAATTTTACCAGGTCATAATTTTTTAAATAAAATAGATTATTACCTAAATTTTTCAAGGGTAATAGTTTTTCACCCAAATTATCTATTTTTGTAGGTGTTTTTGACTGATTTTAAACAGGTTTTGAGTTCTTATACCTCGAAGTTGCTAAATAACGCAAAAATAGAAAAAATTTTGGAAACTTTAATGTGTTACAGTTCAATACCAACAGACAAGCTGTGACAATTTTTTGTTACTTTTGTGTACTTAGAGTAATCACTTAACCACTTAAGGTAAAAATTAAAATTATGAGTTAAAAGTTATTTTAGAACTTACAGCAGCCTGTTAAAAATTCACTTTTTAAAAAAAATATATATATATATATATATATATATATATATATATATATATATATATATATATATATGTGTATATATATATATATATATATATATATATATATATATATATATATATATATATATATATATATATATATATATATATGTATATATATATATATATATATATATATATATATATATATATATATATATATATATATATATATATATATATATATATATATATATATATATATACTAAATTTACTACATCTACTAAATTTAAATTTTTTAGAAACATGTCGAATTAGGCAAGATCTAACACAAGTGTATAAAATTGTTAACAAGATAAACATTATCTTATGAAGTGAACTCCATATTCTTTGTGTTAGGCTTGCAAAACCAATAAAAATTAAAGGAAAAAAATTATTTTAAAAACTAAAAAAAATTATTTTAAAAACTAAAAAAAATACCAGTAAATACTAATTACTAGAAATAACAAATATACATTTTATTTATTTTGAGATTATCATTGTTATTTTATTTAATAACTTATTTATTTTTGTCAGCAATCATTTACAACTCAAGGTGATTTCTGTCATATAAAATATTAAAAAATATTAAATACATTTCATCAGACTGGAAAACCTGAAAAAAAAAAATCTTATCAGTAACCTTTATTGAATAAAAAGAGGATAAAAATGTATTGTTAGTATAAATAAAGAATTTCGATTGTCAAAATGTTAAATTATGTTTTTTTTTTGAATTTTTTAGTGGTATTGGCTTCTCTAAGTTTACGATTCAGGCTTGTAAAATGGTTCCATATCATTGGGCCACAATAAGAAATAAAGGGAATATAATAATTGTTCAAAAAATAATTTCTTTAGCATTAAGAATAATTATATTCATTCTAAATTTTACAAATCAATATTTATTATATAATTGTAATTAAATAAGTAATTATTTACTTAGTAGATTAAAATTTTTGATACATTTTTTTAAAATTTTGTCTTAATTTATATTAAAATGTTTAAGGATGATGATGAATAAACTAATTGATTAATTACTATGAGCACAAAAAAAAAAATTGAATCTCATTATTATAATTAACCACTAGTAACAACTTTTTTATATTTTATGCAAGTAATCTACAGTGCTTGAACTAGACTGAGTAATCAAAGCCTTCAAAGAAGCATAAAATATTTCTATTAAAAAAACAACATGACACAATACAAGATGAATAGTATAAGATAAATAAAAAATCTTATTGCTTTTGTGTCAACATAATTTATGTAGTGGTGGTAAAAACTTTTTCTTCAGGATCACTTTTTATCTTTTTATTTTGTTATTTATTATATTAATTCAAATAAATAAAAATAATAGTAAAATAAAATAAGAAAATGTATAAAATAAAATACAAATGAAAATTTTAACAAATATAACAAAAATAGAATAAATATAAATGATTAGCCTCAAAGTAATCAAAATTATTCTTTTAAATAGAAAACCTCAAATAGTTAACAAATAACAACCAATACACCGCGAATGTAATAAATGCTTAAAAATAAAACTTTATTGAAAAACACAACAAGCTGCTATAATTGGTACTTAATTAACTAGTAATTGGTACTGATATAATTGGACAAAAAACCTAACTCCATAAGAAACAGAAATATTCAAAGTTAAAAAGAAAAAACCATACAAAATTAAAAAATATTTATGCATATACATATTCATACATACATATGCATACATAAACACATGCATTAAATGTACTGTATTAAATGCACATGTAATACATATGCACATGTATTAAATGTACTGGTACAGTAAAAAAAAGTATTACTGGATACCAGAGTAAAAAACTTATTCCTGAAATATATCTAACCATCCCAGCCATACTCCAAATTAACTATGACAGATTAGATAACTATGTAATAGATTTATCTTTGGGTTCTAAAAACTAGCTCAGACATATTCCAGAAACAATCATACTTTCGCATAGAAACAACATAAACCTGGTATGCAATAGGGTTGCGTTTTTTACAGTGTTTGCATAAAATGTGTTTACTAAAATATTTAAAATATTTTTGAGTAATTAAAAATTTCATTAATTAGAAAACTGACAACATTTAAATAATTAAATATTATCAGTCTCTAAATACTGAAATGAAATATCATTAATCTGTCATACCATTTACTAAAGCTATTTAAATATTGTTACAACCTATTACTTTAAATCATTTTTACTTTCCTCTCTCATACAATAACTTAAAATTTTAAATACTTATATAAACCCATTATCATATTGCTCAATTTTAGAATTTCATATACATGAATATTTTTTGTAAAAAATTTATTGAAGATTACTTTCCTTATTCTACGGATTTTTTTTCATGAACAGAAATGTTTTAAAATGAAAACACGTATAACAGATCAGAGTTAACTCATTTGATACACCTAGCTCCCATATTACAAGTCCTCATTTGTTAGTAAATATATAATATATGATTTCTAATTTAAACAAATATTGATAAACATTCCTGTTTTTATTTTGCTGAATTTCCTATAGTTGATAAAATGGAAATTTAATCACCTGAAAATTTGGTACTTGTGACTATCCATAAAAATATAAGGGGAAAAAAATATATAAAAACATTACAAACAACTGACCAACACAACTGTTGTTTTCCAATACCCACCCAGACTTGCAAGTACATATGTAACTTCCATTAGTGTTCCTACAATCACTGTTTGTCAAGTCGCAATACTTAGCCAACTCAATGCATTCATTGACATCTGAAAATAATTATAAACTAATATTCAAAAAAACTTTTTTTTGAGAATTTCATTTAAGACAACATATATATATATATATATATATATATATATATATATATATATATATATATATATATATATATATATATATATATATATACATATATATATATATATATATATATATATATATATATACATATATATATATATATATATACATATATATATATATATATATATATATATATATATATATATATATATATATATATATATATATATATATATATATATATATATATATATATATATATATATGTATATATATATATATATATATATATATATATATATATATATATATATATATAAGTTATACATATATATATATATATATATATATATATATATATATATATATATATATATATATATATATATATATATATATATATATATATATATATGTATAAAAGTTATACATATGTATATATATGTATATATCTGTATATATAAGTAGAACCAAAAAAATTAATCACCTGAAAAAGTGGAACTTGTGACTATCTATAAAAATTTAAGGAGAAAACAAAATTTAAAAAATATATAAACAACTGACCAACACAACTGTTGTTTTCCAATATCCACCCAGACTTGCAAGTACACTTGTAACTTCCATTAGTGTTCTTACAATCACTGTTAGTGAAGTTGCAATATTTAGCCAACTCATTGCATTCATTGACATCTGAAAACAATTATATAGTAATATTCAAAAAAACTTACTTTTGAGAATAATGATTTAAATGTTGTCTTTAAAAGACAACATTTAAATTATTAGAACAAAAAACTTTATCTTTATATTTTTAAGTTATGTTATGTCTCAAACTGGTTACCATCAAGGGTAACTTGGGTAAACTTTATTACTTATAAATAATAACTTTAAAATACAGTAAACGTTCGTTTATGTTTTATTTTATTTTTAATGCAAAAAAGCTTTATCTTAGTTGGTTATTTCAATTCACAACTACACTTTTATGAAAATTTGGTTTTTCATTGATTATCATTTTTTAAATCATTTTTTCGTTGTGGTCTTTAATCCCACTTGTTTGTCTTAATTAAACTTCAAATTTGAACTCAAATTCAAATAAACAAACTTGTTTCATAAAGGTTTGTGTTTTGGAGTTAAAGAATTGAGTTCTGTTACAGTTTTGAATAATGTTTATAAATCTTTTTTAAAAGATTTTGAAAAAATTCTTTTTATAAATTATTAAATAATATTATATAAAATATATTTTTAATAAAGTAGAAAAGTATACTAATTTTCCATATCATTAGATTAAAAAAAAATTTTTTTTTTTAATCTAAAGATATGGAAATAAAATGAAATAGATATTAATAATAGATAGGAAATAACAATAGATAGGAATAACAATAGATAGGAATAGAAAGGAATAACAATAGATAGGAAATAAAATTAAAACCCAAACAAAACCAAATTTACCCAATAAAACCCAAAATTAATTAAAAAAACCAAATGTGCCAGTTTTTTTTAAAAATCGGGTCGTACCAACCCTGTTTGAAAGTAACGGGTGATTACTAAAAATCTGGACAAAATTGCTTACATCATATTTCTATATGCAACTAATACTTATTTTTTCAAACAATTTTTAAAATGTTACAAATGTATTCTTCTTGGCATTTCTCAGCGTATAGCTTCAAAAAAGTTCAAATGTTCTCAGTCACTTATTTCTAAGATATTAAAAACCAAAACATCAATAAAAAAAAGAAAACAAATGAAGATTCCAAGTCGAACTGAGAACCAGAGAGCAAAAAACTGACGTTTGTGTGGTCAACTTTATAAAAATTATAAAGATTTTATTTGGGTTCTTGATGACGAGTCTTATTTTACTCTCTCGAACATTCAAATTAAGGTAATGATAATTTCTATTCAAGTAATATTGAATTAACACCAAACAATGTTAAATTCAAAGAAAAAAAAGAAATTTGAAGAAAAATTATTGGTTTACGTGGTCATTTCGCCTTTTGGCCTATCAACTCCATACATTGTACAGTCTGGAACTGCTATTAACCAGCATATTTATGTTGATGAATGTTTGACTAAAAAACTATTACCATACATCAAACAGTTTCCAAAAAATACCAAATACATATTCTGGCCTGATCTAGCAAGTGCCCATTACTCAAAAAAAGCTATTAAGTTTTTGAATGAAAATGGTATAAAGTTTGTAACAAAAAGTGAAAACTCTCCAAATATGCCTGAATGTCGTTGTATTGAGGATTTTTGGACTTGTATCAAAGGAAATGTTTACAAAAATGGTTGGCAAGCAGAGAATTTGGATCAATTATGCTCTAGAATAATTTACTGAAAATTCGACAAAGAGCTGGTACAACGCTTGGCAGAGTCTACTAGCAGAAGACTCGACACAATAAGAAGACAAGGTCTTGTTGAATTAAGATGAACGTTTTAATTAAAATTAGAATAAATTTGCTATTTTATTCTTTTTAAAATAATAAAATAGGTCTTCTAGATTAAAAGTTATTTAATTTTTAGTTTTGTCCAGATTTTTAGTAATCACCCGTTATATTTTTATTTTTATAATTTGGGCAAAATGGTGATATTTCTATTCTTTCTTTGCTTGAAAAAGTAGTAATCTTTGTTGAATAGTTGAGCTTCATCTAGATTTGATATTGCAACTTTGTTATTGCAGTGGATGTCTGGGAATGTCATTTTTTTTTTTTTTTTTTTGATTTGATATAAGAGTTAAAAACTTTTGGATTTTGGCCAATGTTTTTAGAAAAAAAAATTTCAAACTCGATAATTGCATTTCAGCATGCTGTTTTGATTTTTTTCGTGATGTTACTTGTTATATGTTTTATCATTTCTGTTTGATATATATTGGTAATATTTTGCCTGTTTATTTTTTATTTCATTTAGTTTTTGATAGTCGATCCATTTAGAGCATTTTATGTTTTTGATACTAGATTTTGGTGTAATGTTGTTTGCGATAGTTTTAAGCTTATTGACAAAAATATTTTTCTAAGTTGTTCAGAATTGGATTATAAACAGAGTTTAATAGTTGCGAGGTCTTTGTTAATTTTATCATTTGTATAGTTGTTGTTTTTGCATAATTCCCTTGTGCTAGTAAAACTTTATTGCTGCTTTGAGGAAGTACAGCAATAATGGGTGGAGGAGTTTTTGAATCTTTTAAAGCTTGATCATTAAACCCAGTATTAATCACAGACATATTTTTTCAGCATATTTATTACTTCATCAGATGATGATCTGAAAAGTAAACATTTTTTACTAAAATATTTTTTAGCTCATAAAATCAATTTTATATTGAAATGGGCATATGGGGGAATTTATAAATTTGCTTATGAGCAATCTTTCAGATCTATTAAAAGCTTACAATAAAATGCTGTTCACGGCAGATCTATAAGAAAACAACTATTATCCATGCAAACATCAAGAAGAAAGAGAATGAGTGCAAGCAGAATCTGACAATGATCATACTGAAAAAATTGCCTTAACACAGAGTAAGGAAGACACTTCAGCTTTTAAAAATTAAATAAATGCTGTGAGAGTTTAATATTTAATCAGAAACACTTTTAATGTTGTTAATTAGGCATAAGCTATGTATCATGGTCCAAATCATGCAAGCAGAACTTTTATTTAAACTGTAGCTAAATATAAAACATCAGTGCCAAAAGCAAATACAGGGAAAAAGAAAACTATAAAAATTGTAAATTAACTTTAAAAAAAAAATTTTATTTACAGATAAAAAAAAATGATCATAAAATTCATCAAAAAAAAGAGAATTTTTACAACTTTAAAGACAACATTAAAGCAAGTACTTAAGGTTCTGTCCACCCCTAAACAACATTTGAGCAGAGTAAATTTTTGAAAAAACATTCTGTGCTATCTTAAAATAAATCGAAAGTTATTAATAAAACTAATAATTTTAATCAAAAAATGATGTTAAAATTAAAATAATATTGAATTAAAAACAGGTGAATATATAAATAAATAAATGTGTGATCTTTTTTTTTTAAACATTGATACAACTTTATCATTATTTATTTTACCGTATACCCTAACGTTAATAATAATTTAATTATCTGATATAATGAGCCTAGTGACTAACTATAAAACAAAATGCTAAAAATAAAATGGTTGAATAAAATTTTAAACATTACAAAAAACTGACCAACACAACTGTTGTTATTTAATCTCCACCCAGGCTTGCAAGTGCAATAGTAACTTCCATTGGTGTTCACACAATCACTGTTTGCCCAGTTACAGTAATCAGTCAAGTTTGCGCATTCATCAATATCTGAAAACAATTGTAAAGTAACATGAAATAACTTTAATTTGAATATGACAATTATAAAAGCCACATAAATTATTGGAACAGCATGTTACAAGACCAATCATTTAAACTTATGCCAAAATCTAAACTTGTGTATGTTCATACATATGTCAAATGATGACCAAAACTTAAAAAAATATTTGTAATCTAAAGTTTTAGCCCTTTCATGTAAGGGTAATCAGTTTATAAACTTTTTTATTACTGCTTTGAACTAAGTTCATTTACCTATTTTAAAATTTATTGCTTGCAATACACATAAATACAAAACATAAATTTCAAACAAAATTTAAAAATTGTTAGATGGACAGCAAAAGATACATAAACATATACTTTATACAATATTTAAAAATGTTTTTTTTTAATATTTGTAAATTAATTTTTACAAATAATTAAAAATGTTATTTCTAAATAATACCTACTAAATTATTCTGTTTTTAAAATAACTCACATTCTAATCTATAGACCTAATTGGTTTGAAAATTTTGTAAACTCTATTGCGTAACTTTGTAAATTCTTTAAGTTCTATTTTACACAAAAATTAACATTATATTGTGCTTATAATATTTGGATTTATTGTGTTATAAGTTCAGTGTATAAACTCTTAAAACTAAAGTAACAGTAATTTGAATGGCTTCATTGCTTAAATATTTACGAAGCTTGGAAATAATATAACATTTAATTCATAGCAAAATTCGTAGCAGCATCTTCATATTCAGCACCACAGTTTAAAATTTTTTAATTGCAGATTACTAATTTTCCAAAACAATGAATATAAAACTAGTTTAAATCTTTTGAAAAAAATTTAATAACTCCATAAAACTAAACCTTTGATCTAATGAAACTCAAGAGCTTTATAATTTCTAATGACCTTTATAATTTCATCACAGAGTGCTAACCATTTTCTTTTAAACACTTTGAAAAAAAATATCACATTGAAAAGATTTAGCAGGGTTAGCATTAACAACAAAAAATTTATATAAAATATTTTTATATTTAATTTATGATAAGCTAATTATTCAGTTAAACTAATAATCAAGTTAAACAAACTTCTACCTTAACATAGAGGAAAATAAATAAGTAATGATTTATTACGAAATCTATTTGAATAGGAGAATTTTAGAAGACTAAAATTCTATTGTTCAAAGTATATTTAAAACTTGTATATTTATAGAAAACAGTGGCGGATTCGGCATAAGGCATGGGGGAAAAGTTGCCACCGCAATAATCACCCCTCCCCCACCTGTGCTCCCTAAGCCAGTCAACCGGCACCTCCTAAAATATAACTCTCTCATTAGAAAATTTGATGTTTATTTTAAATGGAAATAAAAAACTTGGTAACAACAAACCATCGTTCAAGCATTAATGGTAAAAAACAAAATTTTTTAAAAGAAAATGTCTTTTATAATCGTGTACACAGTCAATGCATTTTTAACATAGTTTGATTTATCAAAACTACTGTGACTGTGCAAAGACAGGTTCATAAAACTAAAATGACTTTGCAAACAGTAAACAACTTTTCTTTTTTAAAGGAGAAAAATAAAATATTAAAAATTAATTATTATTGCAAGTTATAAATTAATTATGATTTCAAATTATGATTTCAAGATCGTGGAGCAATTTAGATTTATTTTTATGTTTAAAATGTTTTAAGAAAAACCCTTATGCCTCCCCACTAGAAATTTACTTGTCCTACTTTCAATGAAAAACATATTCTTAATAGAGAAATAGACGATATTATGTTTTCCTAACTTTTCTATACTCAACAAAATTGATTTGACCTTTTATAACTGCTTATGATAAGAGAAGTTTCAGTAGATTAAATTTTTAAGATTTTTTCAAAGATTTTTTCTGATCAACAATGACAAAACATTGTTTTGTCATTGTTGATCAAAAAAAATCTTTGTGTCTAAAAATTTAATCTACTGAAACTTCTCTTATTATTGTTTAACAATGTTATTTTGGATTGACATTAATTTGACTTTGAATCAATATTTATTAATAAATTGTTTTACTTTAACACAGCAGGAATAGATGTTCGTAAAATATTTAATCAACGCCTTATAGATGCCACAAGCCTGTATCATAATCTTAAAGACATCCAACGATGGTTCGTAAAAATAAAAATAAATCTAAATTAATTTAAAAAACAAGTAGACATCAGCTGTAGAGTGTACACTCTGCATTTAGTTACATCTTATATTGTAACTAATTCTTGATAATAAATAACCAATGCCTGTCAACTCGTACAAATAAATGTAACTTTAGTCGCAAACTTTAGTCGCCACTGTAGAAAATATGCAGAAGGTTGTCCAGCCGATTCTCAAATGCATTGCAACAACTGTTTCTGCATTCACAATATCGTTGAATAACACAAAGTTCTAATAGTTCACAATTCTGTAATTTTAAATTCTGTCCGCTACGAACAGTTTTTACCTCTCTTGTAATTATTGGTACACACCATTTCACTTAGTCAATTTCTTTTAAGATTTTGAATTCTTAAGTGAGGTTTGCCCCTTGTCAGCGCACTGTTAGATTAATAAGTTTGTAAGGTGAGACTGATTAGCCTTTCTTTATAACTATGTTGTCTCATTGAGTGTCATATCTTGGTGGTTTAACTTTTTCAAGTGTTTTTGGTTCTTTTTATTGATTATGACAAAGTGCATACTGCATATTTCAAATGTGATCAGACATATGTTGTATAGAGTTTTTTCCGTAGTGTTGGCTCTTGCAATGTAAAAGTATTTTTTAATAGACCCAGAATTTTATTTGCAGTCAAAACAGTTTATTTACTTGTTTTTCTGGTTTAAGATAATAGGTTAAATCTAAATAATTCAGTCAAAATATTTGCATTATATTATGCAAAAATATTTTATATTTTATAACATTTAAAGAATAACAGTGATTTAAAAGCTTCTTAAAAAGTTGAATATATCAAGAGTTTAAAAGTGATTTAAACTCTTGATATACTAGTTATTTAATAAATTTGATTTGACTTACTTAACTTTATCATTAGAAATCTAAAAAAAGATATATTATTTCTAACATTCTTTTCGCGCTTGTTTACACGACTGACGGCTGAACAAAAGACTGGCATATTTAATAGTATTAGTGTTTAAAGGAAAAGTAGCTTTGTTCTTGAAAAGCGAAATCCAATAATATTATAATATATAATATATTTAGTTTTCATCTCAACAAGATGGATAACAAAATTATGTTGTTTTTAAAATGGTCTTGCAACCATTCCATAGTCTTATATATGGCCAGTCACACATAAATAAAAAGATTTTTAGTTGGCATGCATTGGTAAATGTTCTTTCAATAAATCTGTACTCATTAAGGCACAAAACACAAAACTAAAAACTACCTCATTTTAGGGAAAAGTTAATTTAAAAAAGTGTTTTGATAGCACAATTAAGGTTACACCCTAATATTCCATATGTAAAAACCTGTACATTTTTAAAAATATATTGTTTTAAAAATAAAATTATAAATAATAACAAATACATTTTAAATAACAATAAATACATTATAGAAATTTTAGATTTTTACTCATTCACCAAAAAGACAACTTTAAAATATGTCACTAAACAAAAGGTCCTGTCCACCTCTAGACACCATTTGAGCGGAATAAATTTTTGAAAAAACATTCTGTGCTATATTAAATTATATCAAAATTTATGAATAAAACTAAAATCAAAAAATGATGTCAAAATCAAAGAAATATTGAATTAAAAACAAGTAATAAATAAATAAATCTATGATTTTTTTTTTAAATTGATACAATTTTACCATTTTTTATTTTATTGTATATTCTAAAGCTAATACTATGGGGTCATCTATAAATAGTAATGCTTTTGTTGGGGGGGGGGTAGTGGTTTTGAGATGACTCATAAAGAACTTGTTACTAAAGAGTTACGATAATGTGACAAGGAGGGGATGGGGTTTAAAACAGTCAAAAATTGTGTGACATAATTTTTGGACAACCCCTAGGGAAATTTTATTATCTAATATATTAGGCCAAGTGACTAACCATAAAGTAATATGCTAAAAATAATATACTAAAACAAAATTTAAAAACATTACAAAAAACTGACCAACACAGCTGTTATCTTCCAACCTCCACCCAGACTTGCAAGTAAAATAAATAGTTTGACTGGTATTCAAACAATCACTGTTTTCCTGGTTACAGTACATAGAATGATATGCTAAAAATACAGAACATAAAGTAATATGCTAAAAGTCATATGCTAAAACAAAATTTAAAAACATTACAAAAAACTGACCAACACACTTGTGAATAAAATAGTATCCATTAGTGTTCACACAATCACTGTTTGTCCAGTCATAGTAATCAATCAAGTTTGCACATTCATTGATATCTAAAAACAATATTAAAGTAACATAAAATAACTTTAACTTGACAATTATAGAAGCAATATAAATATGGAAACAGCATGTTACAATATCAATCATTTAAACTTATAACAAGATCTAAATTTGTATGTTCGTACATATGCCTAATGATAATCAAAACCTGAAAAAAATACTTTGCAATTTAAAGTTTTAGCTCTTTCATGTGAGAGCAACCAGTTCAAAATTTTTTATTACTGCTTCGAACTAAGTTTATCTTCAGATTTTAAAATTTAAAGCTTGAAATAACTATGAACACAAAATATAATTTTTTATTAAAATTGAAAAACATTATTAGGTGGACAGCAGTGTTGCATAAGGTACAAAAACATTTACTTATTAAAAAGACTTTAAAACACCATTTTAAAGTTATTATTTTTGCTAAATTTTTTTTAATTATTTTTACTAAATTATTTTATTTTTATAATAACTTACATTAAAGTAATCTAACCATTACATTTTTAAAAAAACTTTTAGAAATATCAATTAACTTGTATTTTAATTCTAATTCGTTTTTTATTAATCCAGTAAGTGAAAATGAAATATCTGTTCTCATTAGAAACACGCTTAAAACAGAAACAAGTCTTGGTCCTAATACTGTACCTACATTTCTCCTCAAACTAGTCTCACGCATTATCTCTACTGTTATAAATAACTTATTTAAAAGTGGTATTTTCTCAGATATTTTTAAAGTTGCCAAAATTATTCCAATATTTAAAAAAAGCTCTCTTCTTGATTTAACCAATTACCGACCCATCTCTCTGCTTTCTTATATAGGTAAGCTCTTTGAGAAGGCAATGCATAATAGGCTATATTCTTTTCTTGAAAATTTTAAATGCTATTACACCCATCAGTATGGATTTCGTGCCAATCATTCCACAACTCATGCTCTCATTGAAATGACTGAACTAATTAGAAAAGCACTTGATGATAAATGTTTTGCATGTGGTGTATTTGTCGACTTACATAAAGCATTTGACACAGTGGATCATTCAATTTTGTTGAAAAAATTAGAATATTTTGGGATCAGAGGCGTACTGCTTAAATGGTTCACTACATATTTAAACAATAGAACACAATTTGTTTCTATTAATGACTCAAAATTTACCCTTGTAAAATGTTCTAATGGTGTTCCTCAGAGTTCAGTATTAGGACCACATCCATTAAGTTTGCTACTGTTTACCACTTTGCTGATGATACTAATCTAATACTAATTAATAAATTTCTTAAAAAAATTAACAAACACATTAACCATGATCTTGCCAATCTAATTCAGTGGCTTCGCTCCAACAAACTTTTTCTGAACTCTAATAAAACTGAACTCATTATCTTTAAATAAAATAAAACAAAAATCTATAAACATATGAACTTTAGATTATGTGGCAAAAAAATTGAACCTGTTAACTCAATTAAATATCTTGGTATAAAAAACGATTCAAATTTTTCCTTTTTATCCCACTGTAAAGACTTAGCAATAAAACTAAGTAGATCTAATGGTATGTTGGCCAAATTTTGCCATTATGTTAATTTAGAGACACTCTTGAACATATACCATGCTATTTTTGGCTCACATCTTAGATATCCATGCCAAGTATGGGGGCAGTCCCATCAACAAGCTCTTTTTAGGTTATCCCACCTCCAAAACAAGGCTTTAAAAATTATTCATTTTCAGAATATTAAATTTAATTCTAATGTGCTCTACCTAACTTCTAAAGTATTAAAACTATGTGACTATATTCAACTTTTAAACTGTCAATTTGTCTGGAACCACTAACACAATAACCTACCTTTAACTTTCATTAACTCTTTTTCAAAAGTGCTAACAATCGTTATCACCTTCGTTCCGATAGTAATTTGAACCTGTCTGTCTCTAAACACCGCTCTCATAATTACGGGCATAAATCTATAAAATATCAAAGCACTAAAACTTGGAACAACCTTCCTTATGAACTAAAAGCTCTCAATTCATTCTCAACCTTTAAAACCAGTTTATTCTACCTTTAAAAAATGTTAATGTTTATAATTTCTATAATCAATTTTTGTTGTCTTAATATATATATATATATATATATATATATATATATATATATATATATATATATATATATATATATATATATATATTTTTTTTTACAATTTCTATTCTATATTTTTTATTGATTATTGTTATTTTGTTATTTTTACTAATATTTACTTTTGATAACTACTTTTAACTTTTGTTATTACTAATACTAATATTGTTGTTATTATTGTTATTATTATTATTATTATTATTATTGTTATTATTGTTATTGTTATAACATTGTTATTTATATTACATCGTTATTTTATGTTATAAAGTTTATTATTGTTATTTTATATTGTGAAAATTAGCATTATATTTATTTTAATTAGATATTGTTAACATTAGTAGGTGTTTACTTTATATTAGTATATTTACTATTTGTAAACATCCTTGAATGTAAAACCTTAATTCAGAAATAAATGATTGATTGATTGATTGATTGTTATGATTGATTTTATCTTCATATAATTGCTGATTACTTTTATCTCCTATTTTAAATAGCCAAATAGAAAAACTTTATTTAAAATAAAATTAAAGATTAAATTATCATAAAAGGTAAAGTTTGAAATTTTAACAAAAAGCATGTACCTTCAAAAGATTTTAGTAAAATTACTGTTTAAAAAATTTTATACAAGGTTCTAGATCTAATGTTTGTATATAATTTAGCAAATGTTATATGGTTGTGACAAAAAACTTTGTGGCTTTAAAATGCCATAAAGTTTATTAATGAAGTATGAAATCGGTGTATACAGAAAGTATAGAAATTTGAAGCCACAGACACGAACCTACTAATAATTGTCATATTGTCCTTTATTTTATTGAACAATCTTTATGAATATTACCAATATTCATAAAGATTGAATATCTTGCCTGGATGTTTTAGAGTATAATATACACTTGTAAAGATTTGTAACTTTGTTCTTTGAAAATGTTATTTTTAATGTATTTAGATTTTCAGCGCATCATATATGTGAACTTGTTACCTCAATCAGGAAAATAGTTCTCAAAAAAGTGTTTTAATAAAGACTCTAGCAATATATCACATATTTCATAGTTGAAAACCTGTACATTTTTAACTATAGATATACTTGTAAACAAGAAGTTATAAATGTTGATGTTTTCTCTTTAAGTAGTTTCCTCTTTGTACTAAATACAGATTCAGAACAATGTAGTAGTTAGTAACAATAAGGTAATTTTCTCTTTGTAATAAATACAAATTCAGAACAATGATTTCTATGTACTCAAGACAACTTCTAAGCTAAGTTATCAAACTTTACACAGATTATGGTTTTACTTTATGGTTTCTATATATCTTAATTTATAGTTTCTACTTTATGGTTAGTATGTGTATACTGGTTTTAAACTTTTTGTTAAAAACTTTGGTACAAAGAGATTGGGAACTAAAACAACTTAAGCTCTTTTCCACATGTTATAAATTAAAGGATTATCTTCTTAAAGTTGCTGATTACTTTTATCTTCAATTTAAAATAATTTTATAAATAAATTCTAATTAAAATAAAAAATTATTAAAACATTATTATGAAAGAGTATTTAGACAAAATTCTAACTTGATGACATCTAAATTTTAAAATTAACACTCTTAAATTTACTTTTTTGAATAAAGTGATTTTAATTTCTTAAATTTCTATTTTCTATTGTTATGTTACTAATTTAAAATCTTCTCTACTAATTTATTTATTTCTAGAATATGCTATTAATTTCATTTCAATTCTCTTTACCGCTATTGTTGTTATTATTTATATATTTTTATCATAATGAATATTATTATTATTGCAGTTGTTATTACAATTATAACTAGTTTTCTTCTATAGTTTTTATAATATTATTGTTGTTATTATTCATTATTCCGAAAAACTTGAGGATTATTGAGGAACCCTTAATATCATACAAGTGGTCTAAAAGTCGAAAGAAATTTAGGTTATTTTAGTTACTAATCTCAGTCAATGCATGTACAATGTACATAATTAGACAGAAGCATGTACATTGTAAATGCTGCTGCGTTTTTAGCTAATAATTTTTAAAAAAATATAAAAAGATTTTTAAAAAAATATAAAAGGGTTTTACTTTATATTTGAAGGTTTTAAGTTTTATGTTTTAATGTAGAATATATCTAAAAATAATCAAATTTGAGCATTAAAAAGTTTAATAAATTAAAAATAATGTTTGCCCAATCTTTGTTCAATGTTTATACTAAGACATCTGCAGATTTTAGTTGGCCATTTTTAGCTTATACCCCATTCACACTAAAAAAACCAAGTTTTAATAACACTCACTTTTAAAACGTTGTTTAGTTTAAACTTTTCATGTTTCAGGCTTGGTCAGAAAGGCATACGATTGCACGTCATTACATGATCATGCAAATAATACTTTATTTTGACAATTTGATTACAGTTTTTAACATGTTAATTTAAAAATGCGCTGAAAAAAACTATTTTTAATTACGTCAAAAAATAAATTTTGTCAAAAATAAACTTTAAAGCTTTTATCTTTACTAACTTTTTTATATTAGCGAAATGTTTTTAAATAAAGTAACAGGTACTGTTAACGTTTTAATTTAAAGTATAGATAAAAGTTGTATAAATTTTTATTTACATTATTTAAATATATGTAAGATTATATAATTAATAAATTAAATAATATGTAAGATTTTTTTATAAATAATCTAATTTATTTTTTAATTATTTAAATTTCATAAGCGAGGACTTTAAACAACAATTGTCTCTTTAATAAACTTTATATAAGAGTCAGTAAAGTTAATACACTTGAAAAGATTTTGTTGAAAAAAAAAAAGACAAACTTTTGAATTAAAGACAGCCGTTTGAATAAAACTTTGATCTTTACTAATGTTTTTATATTATTAAAACGCTTTTAAATAAAGTAACAATACCCTGCTAATTATTTTTTTACATTAAAGTATTATGTATTTTTCTTTCATCTTTAAATAAAAAAAAATTAAATTATTAACAAATTAAATCAATTGAAGGAATAGTTTTGTTCATTATTTTTCGTTTTTATCTTCACTTTTCCTAATTTGCTTTCTGATATTGGATTACTGACAAAAGAAAAAATTTAATTATTTTTCTTTTGTTTAGATTACTACGAAGAATTGTAGAATTTTTTTGTTGTTATCTTTTAAATGTGTGTATTTATTAAAAAATCGTTGAAAATTATTACTTTGTTTAAAAGGGTTTTCACTATGTCTATATAATAAAAAAAAAAACATGTTTTTTTGTTCAAAAGTCAGTTGTCATGTTTGTGAAACACATCCCCTCCCCTCCCCTCCCCTCCCCGTGGAAAAAAAAAAAAGTGCCATAAAAAATAGTTACCTCGTAAATTTTTATCGTTTTTTTTTTAAATTTTTTCATAAAAACAAAAGTGTTTATTTACATTTTTTTGTCGATTAGTACTATTATTATTTTTATTTTTTTTACAACTAATATAATTTTATATGGTGCAGTAACAAAGCAGACGGGACACTACTAGTTTTACATTATAAAATAATAAGTAAAGACTCAAAGTTATTTGTTTCAAACATAATTATCTTATTCTTTATTATTTATTTTGATCAAGTTTTGTTTTCATATTTATAAAGTTTTCATATTTATAAAGTTTTGTTTTCATATTTTTCATATTTATAAAGTTTTGTATATACCAGGCTTTCACAGGAAGACGTGCCATTTCATGTCTTTATATGACCATGCAAAAAAAAAAAATGTTTTAACAATTTGACCACGGCATATTTTTAAAATTTAAAAACGCGCTACAAAAACTTACCTAAACTTATCTAAAAAAAAATACTAAGTTAAAGCAAAAACACAAAAAAATAAATACATATATAACGCAACTAAAACAAAACACATCAATCTAAAGCATTTAATTTACGCATTAAAAAACCTTTTCAATCTTTGTTTCAACATTTTTAAATATTTTTTAATTGTTTAATATGTTCAAAAGTTAAATATTTCTCATAAAAAATACATAGTTATATAAACAAAATAAAAAAAACATTTTATAAATACTTTTTTTTTAAATTAATTAGAAGTGTTTTTTTTTTTACTTCATTAAAAGCGCTTTGATAATATAAAAGCATTTAAGATCAAACTTATTAAATTGTAAGGGTTTTCTAAAACTTTTTTTTTTTAAAGAAGTTTTGTTTATCTTTTTAAATGCATTAACTTTAATCATTCTTATACTAAAATTCGTTAAGAAGACTTTCATAGTCGTAGAATGTCATTGTTTATAAAAGCAAAACAATTTTTTATTTTTTTAATAAGATTTATTTTAGAAATAAACACTTAAACAATTTATATGTTTTAAATTAAAAAATATATATATAACTGTCAATTATATTTTAAAAACAAAACTTTTTTTCAGTAAATTGTTACTTTATTTAAAATCGTTTCGCTATTATAAAAACATTTGTTAAGAAGTTTTGATGTAATTAATTTCACTTTTTTAGAATATTTTTTATTTTCTAAAATGTTTTTTGAATTAGCCACGGTCAAATCGTCATAGCAAAATAAAACTTGCATGGTCATATAAAGACGTGAAATCGCATGTCTTCCTGTGAAAGTCTGATATTATATATACATATGTATATATATACATATGTATGTATATATGTATATATTTATATATATACCTATTTATATATATATATATATATATATATATATATATATATATATATATATATATATATATATATATATATAATTAATTTTTAAAAATGTATTCTACAAAATAGAGTGCTCAATGTTCTTAAAAGAACAGAGCAATTATAAATTAGTAGAAAATCACTTAACAAAATTTGTTTACTGTGTTTCATCAACAAAGACTTAGAAATGAATGATCAAATTAATAAAACTTCAATTTATACCAAAAAATTAAATTACAGGAAGTCGCTAATATTTTAACTACTGTATATTTTCACACATTTGTGGAATTTGCTAACATTATAAAAAGAATTCTTTAGAAATGATTACTTATGCTTTTTTTTATTAAAATATTTTTTAAAAAAGGGGGGATTTAATGTAACTATTATTTGAGCTCACTTATTTTTATAGTTTTTTTAGGAGAAACTTATTTTCCTGTCTGCATTTAGAAATCAATTCCGATTTTTTGTATAATAAACATTCTTGGTTTGCATGTGTAATTATTTGAAATTTTTCTTGTAGACATAGTATGCATTTTTTGGAAATATTGTTGTATGCAGGCGACCAATTCAGTATAAAATCATAGACCAATTCAGTATAAAATCATAAATATTTTTATCTTTTAGTTCCCATATATATTTTGACAGCATGGTATCTTTTGAATACTTTTTGTTTTTAAAAGATTGCTTATGGTTGGCAAAACGTTTTTTCCATTCACCCTCTGTTATGCCAATATATTGATTATCGGGTACATTCTTAGAGGAAACAACACATTTATATACCACATTTTTTGATAAACAACTTCCACTCATTGGACAATTGTTTTTTTGTTTACAATTACAATTTTCTGTAGTTTTTTCATTTAGGATTTCTTTTTTATTTAACAAAGCATTATTGTGACTTTTTACAATTCTTTCCATAATTTTTATGCAACTGCAGCTAACTTTAATTTCGATTAAAAATTTTATGTAATTTGTTAGAGGGAAAGAAATTAATTATATTCTTAGAAATAAATTAAATTTGCAACAGTGGAAAAATACCACTGATATATATATATATATATATATATATATATATATATATATATATATATATATATATATATATATATATATATATATATATATATATATATATATATATATATATATATATATATATATATATATATATATATATATATATATATATATATATATATATATATATATATATATATATATATATATATATATATATATATATATATATTTAAATATATATATATATTTTTTATTCTCAATTTTTTATTAAAACTTTTTTTACATGGAGATTTAAAACAATTTGTCAATAAAAGTTTTTTAATAAGACAACCTCTCGATGTTGTTTTATTTAGCTACGGTTTTTCAAACTCGTTTATTTGAGACAAGGTTTTAAAAGTAGGGCAAACGCAAAAACTAGTCTCTAACTTAAATAACCATGATTAAAACTGGTTTTAATTTTGGTGTCATTAGTTTAAATAATCACGATTAAAACTGATTTAAATTTTGGTGTGAATGGGGTATTACATTTTCATTCTACTTAAATATGTGCTATATCGCAAACTGCTCACCGCTGTTATATTTAGCTTATTTTAATTTTTGGAAAGCTTAGTAAGAGAAAAAAAAAATTGTTTTTATTAATGTCTTTTATATCTAAATATCTTCATTAACCCAAACCCTCATTTTGATGTGTATACACTGTCTATTGGCTAATATGATAAAATGTAAGTACGACATTACAATTGACACTTCTAAGACACAATTATTGATGCTACAACAATAAACAAAGATAAACACAATACAATTAAAATGCAACAATATAATGGAACAAACAAACAAAAAAACCTAACTTAAGGTAAAGTAATTCTCTACCTAAACCAAAAACCTCAGTAAATATATATATATATATATATATCTACTGACTAATAACTCATCTTGTCTTTAGAAAAGAATAACTAACTAAAGCACTATGATTATGACAGTATCTATGTATTGAAAAAAAGGAAAATCCTGCAGATATATAAGAAACAAAATTGTTTCTTATATACCTGCAGGTAGAACAACAATTGGTTGCAGAACATTACCTAAAAAAGTTAAACAGTAAACAGTCTTATAAAAAACATATAGAAAATAACATAGCATCAAATAAAAAAAGTTAGAAAACTATAAATAAACAATTCAAAACATACTTGAAAAACCATTGATAATAATTAAATTCCTTATTGAACCATCTTGAACATCATGCCAAGGATCAGATGCATATACTTTTACATTATCAAAACTTTGAACTTGTTTATTTATACAAGTAAAGACAACTTCTTCATTTAATCTAATTGTGTAATTATAATAGTCTTTCAAAATTTGACTAACTTTAATATTAGACCATTGATTTTTTTTTATCGGTTTTGTAGTGAAACCTTTATCATGATCACCATTAAGTGGTGCTGAAATGTAAATACTACCATCTCCAGTTTCATGAAACCAGATACCTGGAACACGATCACCATAATGATCCTTATTAGAACCAATAGTGAAATGAATAACACTATGCCATTTAGCAACAAAATTATTTGGATAGACATCAAATGAAACTAAAAACTGCTCATCTAGTTTTGGTATCTGGCCAATAAGGTTTCCTTTTACTAACAAAATTTCGGATTTACAAAAACGATTTTCTAAAATACAAAAAAAAATTAAATGCAAGATGTAAGTTTAAATCCGAATATCAGTTAAGTAACTAATATTGATTTAACAAATTAATTACTACATAAAAATAGTAACTATATTCCTTTCTGAGGTATAGTTTAGATATACTGAACACTGGACGTATTGAAGAATTTTTCTTTACTTTAATTTCTTTCCTTTTATATAAATAAAATAATTAGCATAGATTACTTACATTTTACTAAAAAATATTTTTTTTATGAATGATTGAAGTTCTTATTTTATAATTATTTTTATAAAAATATTTTAATATATAATATATTTTGTTAACTTAAAATAATTAATAATTGATGTGTTTAACTAAAACATTTTTTCATCTAACTGAACTTATTATTCACTTTTTTTCAATTTAAATATTTTTATTTTTCCATAAGTTTTTGCTGTAAATGTAATATATGGATGAATGATTTATAGATGTATTTAAATTGTTTATAATAGGGTTCTTAATATATATATATATATATATATATATATATATATATATATATATATATATATATATATATATATATATATATATATATATATATATATATATACATATATATATATATATACATATATATATATAAATATATATATATATATGTATATATATATATATATATATAAATATATATATATATATATATATATATATATATATAAATATATATATATATATATATATATATATATATATATATATATATATATATATATATATATATATATATATATGTATATATATATATATATATATATATATATATATATATATATATAAATATATATATATATATAAATATATATATATATATATATATATATATGTATATATATATATATATATATATATATATATATATATATATATATATATATATATCTGTGTGTGTGTTTGTGTAAGTGTGTGTGTTTTAAAAAATGATTCCCAATTTCTTTGATGTGTCTAAGACTCCCTCAGATTATCCTTAATGTCCTATATTTTGCCTTTGTCTAGATTTTGAAAATTCACTATTAACCTATAAGACAAACACTTTTATGCTCAAATGGTTTCATTTCAGTGCTATGAAATAAAACCTTGCAGTCTCTTTAGTTCACAGTGGCTAAGGTTAATTTTTGCATTTAAATAGTTTTGAAAATAATTGCATTAGATCTATATCTATGAATCTTTTTATTGATTTGAAAATAACATTGTTTATTTTTATAATTAAAAATTTAAATGTCAAGTGAAAGAAAAAAGTTCACAAAGTACAATGATATCTTGTGATTATTGTTGTGTTTTGCCTAGCAACAAGATAAAACAAGTGTAACCCTTCTTTATTTATTAACTTGTTATTGGTTACAATAAAAAATGTAGCCATTTTTACTTTTAAGTTGTTATTGCTTACAATAACAATTTTTGGCTAAATTTGTTAGTTTTAAAATAAATTTGATAGTTATTAAGGAGCATTGGTGTAAAACCTTTAATTGCGCATTTTTATATATAATGAAATTAAAATAACTTGTAAATTTTACAATTTTTTAGATATTTGGGTCCAATAAAAATAGGTATTTTTTCGTAAAAGCCTTATAATTGATAATAAATAAACTTATGTATATAAAATATTTATCAAAAAACATGATTTTAAATGTTGCAACTTCTTTCAGTTAGAATATAGAAATATTAAAAAAAAAACTTCAAATAATTTTGTTTTTATGTTAGTTTTTTTTGTTTTTAAACTATATAAATAAACCGCTAAAACATTTTAGTTTTGTTTACTTATTTTTAATGACGCATTTCTTTGATATTCTACCAAAAAAGCATCTGTAAAGCTGTAATGTAGGTTTTTCAAACTTATTTTAAAAATAAAATAGCTACTAGTTAACTTTAGATTTTCTTATTTTTGAGCTAACTCTATATTTTATAAACTCTCTACTCTACGCTTGAAGCAACATATATCTACTATGCTATATCTACTATAGCACATTTGCTCACTTTTTTTGCTTATCTGAATCAATACAGTTTTTTTAGAAAAAGAAGAAAAAATGAAGAATAATGAATGAAAAGATTGCTGCCACATGCCAAACCCTCAATCAATGTAGCAGCACTCTACTGCAAGTCAGGCTATTTTTAGTCGAAGCATGTATTGAAGCCCCAGGCAGCAAACTATTTCAGTATGATGTCACACTGCTTACCTAAATCAGCAGAATAAGATATATATATACACACACACACATATATATATATATATATATATATATATATATATATATATATATATATATATATATATATATATATATATATATATATATATATATATATATATATATATATATACATATATATATATAAATATATATATATATATATATATATATATATATATATATATATATATATATATATACATATATATATGTGTATATTAGGGTGGGTCATAAAATTTTTTTTTAGAGTCGCTAACCTGGCTATGGTCTAGAAAGTTGTTTTTTTATGTACTAATTTAGAAAAGTATTTACTTTTATAGATTGAACAATGTCTTCCACCCGCAACTATAATTACAAAAATTAGCAGCCCTTATTATTATTCAAAAAAAAATTTTTCAAATTTATGTGATGTAGGTACTCAAATAAAGCAAAAATTTATAAAAATTTCAAAAATAATAATTTTTTCATATAAAAATTATTATTTTAGATTTTATTGCATAATAACTGTAGCTTTTTAACTAAAAGTGAAAAAGGTGCATTTTTACATGTTTTTTAATAACAAATTTTTTCAACGATATGATTTTTATAAAACGATTATTATTTTTGAACTTTTTATAAAAATTCGCTTCTTTTGAGTACCAGGTTGACCTACTTTTGAAAACCTTTTTTTCTCCAAAATATAAAGGGTATCGGTAATTTTCCCAATAAAGTTGCGCCCTTTAAATCTATCACAATCATTCTCATATGTGATAGTATCATTCTCATATTAATAACTATTAGCAATGTTTAGAGCCTGTAACAAGGAAAAAATTTTATGACCCACCCTAGTGTGTGTGTATATATATATATATATATATATATATATATATATATATATATATATATATATATATATATATATATATATATATATATATATATATATATATATATATATATATATATATATATATATATATATATATATATATATATATATATATAATATATATATATATATATGTATATATATATATATGTATATATATATATATATATATATATATAAATATATATATATATATATACATATATATATATATATATATACATATATATATATATATATATATATATATATATATATATTATATATATATATATATATATATATATATATATATATATATATATATTCAAAATCAAAATCAAAATCATCCAAAATCAAAATCATAATCATCCAAAATCAAACAAAAATTGTACATTAAATTCCTAAAACTAAAAACAGATAAAAGTAAAGCTATATATAAAAGTTACGCCAAACAATTCGAACGTCAAAGAAAAAATCTTTAAAAAAATTATTACAATGATTTACTTGAGAAATATAAATTAAATTCTAAGCGCACATGGGAAGTTATAAAGGAAATCACAGGCAGTTTTAAAATGAACACACTCACATTCCCTAAAACCATCAAAACAAATGATAAACTTTTGTATGATAAAGAAGAGATAGCTAACGAGCTGAATAAATATTTTGTTTCTGTTGGACCAAATTTATCCCAAAAAATTCCTCAAGCAATTAATCCAATAAGTAATCTATTTATCCCTAATATATTGTAATTTAATTCGTTTGAACTAACTTTTGAAGAGTTTGAATGCGCTTTTAAAATGCTAAAACCCAACAAATCAGCAGGTGCAGATGATATCAATGTAAATATTGTTATTAAATCATATGAAATCATTAAAGATGTACTTTTTAAGATTTTTTCTTGTTCTATTAGGCAAGGAATTTTTCCTAACCAACTAAAAATAGCAAAGGTGATTCCGATATTTAAGGGAGGTGATTTAACTAATGTTAGCAACTATCGTCCCATTTCTATTCTATCTGCATTTTCAAAAGTCTTGGAAAGAATTTTATACAACAGAATTTATAATCATTTATCTGTAAACAATTTAATATATAGCAATCAATATGGATTCAAAAAAAATAACTTGACAGAACACGCAGTTCTCCAGTTTACAAGAAGTATTACTAACTCTTTTGAAAACTTCCAATATACAGTTGGGGTTTTTATTGACTTAGCTAAAGCTTTCGATACAATAGACCACAATATTCTTTTAAATAAACTAAAGATTTACGGTATAAACGGAAGTGTTTTAAATTGGTTAAAAAGCTATTTAAATAATCGAAAGCAATTTGTATACGCTGATGTAGTTTCACCAGTAAACTTGCTTGATATAACCTGTGGAGTTCCTCAGGGATCAATATTAAGGCCTCTTCTTTTTCTTATTTACATCAACAATCTCCATAAAGCCTCAAATTTAATGACGATTATGTTTGCAGATGACACGAACTTATTTTTATCTCATAATGATATTACATTGTTATTTCAGAATATCAATAATGAACTAGTAAGAATTTCTGATTGGTTTAAGACAAATAAACTGTCTCTTAATATTGATAAAACGAAATGAATTTTTTTCCATCCAAATCACACAAAAAATCTTATACCAAATGAAATGCCACTGCTTTTTATTGATAATATACTTCTAAAAAAAGTAACAGTTACAAACTTTCTTGGTATTTATATTGATGAAAATATGTCATGGAAAAGTCACATAAAAAATTTGAGTAGTAAAATATCAAAAAGCATAGGAATTTTGTACAAAGCAAGGTGTTTTTTAAATAAACATACATTACTTAAACTATATTATTCGCTCATTCATTGTCTCATTAACTTTGCGAACATTGCGTGGGGTAGTACTAATAAAAGTAAACTGGAACCTCTTTATCGTC